GAAGGTAAAATAGAAGACACGAAGGAACCAACCATCTGTGGGGCACTTTTAAGTGGACACAGCAACTCCCTTATGTTGACCCATGGAAATGACTCAACTCTGTGTTGGAAATTTGCTGGTGTTAATCAACCCTTCTCCACAGATGCCAGCAACTTGCCTTTTGAATGCTAATGAGGTTCTTTCTCCCTTGCAGTCTGTATGGACAGAGACAGAACGGGTTGTTGTGGGGCTCAGGGGCAATCCTGGACTAACATTAGCAGACCTGTGGTTGTGTCTCTGCTCAGAGACTTGCCCATGTGTTTAGGGCGGGAGTAACAACGGAGGGGGAAGCTCTTTACCTGGTTGTTCCCGCCCATCCCTTAAATAGAGTTGCCAGATTTAAATAAACATACAGGATGCCTAGTTACATTTGAATTTCAGATAAACAATGGATAATTGTAGTGTAATGTTTGTATAATGCTCCAGGGTATTTTCGGCCATGGACTTGTACAGTGAAATATGCCTGTGGGGAAAAGACTATTAGACCTGGATTGACAAGGTGGCTAAGACAGAACCCAAGGTCAAAAGGATCGCAGGGTTGAAGAATTCTTTGGGTGACACAGTCTTGGGGAGAGACCATGTGAATGTAATTGCCCAGAGCCTCCCTGCCATCATCTGCCCTGCCAGGCCACCATAGTGATGGCCATGCCGCACCCTCAGGATCACAGCAGCCGCCATTCTCTTCTTACCTGTTGACGACTAAAAGCAAAATCCTTGGAGGTAGGGCTGAGCCACCGCATCCTTCCGGAACCCGCTTTTGAACATTTACCGTGTGCAGAACACTGCGTCTGTGCTGGTGGTGGTTAGAGGTTCATGTTTGTTCTCCGTCTGTCCTCTGCTTTGGGGGGTAAAGTAGTAATTAAGCACCCACTCCTGTGTACAGAGCTCTCCACCAGGCTCTGTGCTCGTGGTGACAAAAGAAATGGAAAACACAGCCTCACATGTGCCTGTTGGGACGGCAGAGAGCTTAGGCTTTTATTAACTCAGAATTGGAGTTATCCTCCGTGGCCTCACTCTGACTTTGTGGCGCGTGTCTCTTCCTGGGTGTATGTGCAGATAATTGCCATAGTCGTCACCCAAGGTGCATGGAGCCCCCCACCCTCCTGTCTTGAGAGTGATTCGTGGTAAGTCTGGAGGGGGGAAAGGGAGGTCCTGGCCTGCGGCCTTGCAGTGAAGGGAACCAAGTTCATGGCTTATTTGGGGGCCAAACATTGTGCCCTTGGCCGGGGACCAAGAACCAGAGGAGCTGTCCAGTGCTGAGAAGACCTCGCAAGGCATCATGGCAGAGCCCGAAAGAGATGGGCTTTGATAGCAAGAGAGAATTCACTTTAACTCCTGGCCTTGCTGTTTATAAACAATGTCACTTTTTCTGTGCTTCAGTTTCCTCTTCTATGAAATGGAGGCAATTGTAATATGAGGATATTTTTGAGGATTTCATGGGATAAAATATTTGAAAGTGCTAGCAGACAGCACTGTGTCTGTCACTGCAGCATTTCCCATGCTCATAGCACCTCGGAAACTCCTCTGTTATGACACTCTTCATGGTGAATTGTAATTATTTCATTTCTGTGTCTGCCTACTTCCACTAGACGGGGCCAGGGCCGTTTTCTGCCGTTCACATTCCCTTGGCTTCATGCCTAGGGCCTGCTACTTCCGAGGCCTAGAGTCGTTCTGTGCTGTATGCACTTCAGGACTTGGGTTTTGCCTGAAGATGACGAGCCTTTACATCTTGTGTCTTCCTCCTGCTCTCCCCTGGTCTTGCTGTTTATAAACAATTTCTCTCTTTCTCTAACTCTCCACTGACTATGGGCGGAGCCCGTCCTGTGCATCTGCTTGGCGGCAGGGGTCTTAGGACTATGTTGAGCTGTGATCATTAGGCCCTAAAATACACAAGGACAGATTTCCAGCACACTCCTGCATGACCAAACAGATCTATGTTCGAATAGCATCCCCACTGTGCTCCCCGCTCCTCTCATTGGCAAGTTACAGGATTTCTGTGGTATTGTGTGCCTTTATTACTTTGATCGGTGCAGTCCAATTGCTCAGTCATCTCTTGAGCCTCGTACTTGCCACACTCTGGGCTGGGTGTGGGGGACATCGAGATGAGGAAGACAGTCTCTTTGCTTGAGGTGCTCCCAATCTCGTGGGAGAGACAGATGTGGAAACAGAGAATTTCTCTCTCCCGGTCGGTAAGGGCCACGATGGCAGTGGGCACAGAAAATTATGGACCCACAGAATCAGAGTCCTTTTCCTCAATTATCTTCTCCCCCTAAGAATCCCATGACTCCCGCTTCTAATAGACAGACAGGGGAACCAAATCATAGTTCTCACCCTCAAGGACGATTTGAACACTGGGAGGTAGGGAGCAGCGAGTGGCCAGACTGCCTCAGCCTAGTAGACAGGCCTCCTGCACTGGAAGAAAATCAAGTGTAAGGGCCAGGGGAGACGGGCCACAGGCTACCTGGCCCTGGCTGAAGCGGGACTCGGAGGACTTGGGGAGCAGGTAGTTCAGCCGAGGGCTGCACTTAATGAAAAGAACTTATCTCCTGGCTGGCTACCCGAGGCCTCCAGACAGATACCATATTTCCTCTTCTCTCTGTAGGTTAGCTTTATTTACTCTTGTTCTCTTTCCTGCATGAGCTTTCTTATCTCTGACATTTGCTTCTCCACCAGCTTTGATTTCTTTTTATTTTCTATCTTGTTTCCATTTCTATGTTTCCTTTCACTGCTCAATTTCCTCTCCTCTCTTTCTCCTCTCCCTCTATCATTTCCCCCTCTCTCTACACTTGTGCCTTTTGCCTTTTAATTTTGTCTTTCTGCCCCTACCTCCGTGTTCTGAAATGTATCTTGCTCAACTCAAGGGCTGCGGGGGACATTTCCTGTGTGTCTGGGTGTCCCAGGAAACATAACTCTGGACCCTGACCTGGGCAGATTCTACCCAGGAGCAAACTAAGACGGAGCAAACTAGAGTGAAGGAGAGGCTCCATGTGCACCTCAGAGACCCCAAGTTCAAGGCTCCTTACGCTGTTAGCAGAATCAACTGAACAATGACCCCATTTCTGCCTCTCCAGTTTCCTATCTCCACCTATCTTTGAAGCTTCTCTTTGCCTCTTTATTATTTTTTAAAATTCTGTCCTATTTTCCATGTTTCTCTTTGATCTCTCATCTCTTCAGAATTTCCTTACTTATTAGAAATTACATCACTCCTCCCTCCCCCTAACCCCCCTCGTTGGCCTTGGAAGACAGAGTCAAAAGCAGTCAGAGACTCCACTCCCTGAGTCCCTCCTTCTCAGATGAGGGCGTGGAAGTTTGGGAGACGTGGAGAAGACTTGGGAGCCTTGCCTTACTCCCGAGATCCTTAATGAGAGTAGGATTTCTTTCTGGTTCTTATTTTGAGGTTGGATTAGTATAGAATTACAGAATCTCAAAGTTCAAAGAGATCTTCATTGGTCCTTTAAAATATCCTTCAACCCAAGTGGGAACCCTCTTAACTGCCTAATAGATAGTTGAGTACTTTTAATGTTAGGAAGCAGACTGCTTTGGTGCTGGGCAGCTCTTCCTGTTTCAAAGTTATTGTTCAGGGTTCTGATGTCCTGGATCTCTGTGCTTTGTTCCTGTGGACTCTCTATCTGCTTCTTAGAGATACTGTATAGCATAAGCCTTTCATTCACATTCTCTTTCAAGTACTGAAGGCACTTCAAGTATCTTCTTCAATACTTGAAATGTTTCAGAGGGTTCTATCAAAAATAATTAAGTGGAATGAAGTATTCTTGGCACCCTTTGACTATGTAGATAATTCACTTTTCTAAATGACTCATCCCCCAACGGTTCCAGATAGCTGAAATTGTCCTAGAGTGGTTCTGAGGGAGGTCAGGGACTATCCCACAGAGAGAAGGCTAAAATTAGAGTTGCAAAACCAATTTCATTAATGTTTGTGTTGGATGCAATGTCTGTTTTGCACATTATAGTGTACAGGCCTCTCTTGATATTCAATACCCTGTCATTTTATTTTTATACCTAGGCCTTGATACTCCCCTGTTCTGTAGACGTGGCTAGTGAGCCTCATCGAGGTTGAGTGACTTGCCTAAAGTTGCCCAGTTCAGGACTTAATACCCAGTTCTCTTGACTCTGGGCCTTTTGCTGAGTTTTCCATTAATACTTAAGTGTCTTTGTCTCTCCAAAGTATCTGCAGTGTCATGAGGTTATATGAAATAAATTGTCTCCTCAAGACAAGGAACTTGGTGTCCACAATTTAATAGGATTTTTATAGTGTGTGTGTGTGTGTGTGTGAGAGAGAGAGAGAGAGAGAGAGAGAGAGAGAGAGCGCGTACTTCTTTCTGGCTATGGCTGCGGAATGTGGAAAAATGGAAGCAAAGAAACCAAACCCAGGTCACACAGTGATTCTAAACAAGTATAAATATGCCACATGGGGACCAGTAGAGTTATTCCTTAATTATAAGCATCCCATCCGTGTGACTGATTTGTCTAGTTAAATTTATGTGTCAACGTGGAGAAGGGTGAGTTACTCCTTTATTGTACTTACTCCAGAGGAATTTTCTAAAGGAGATAGGAGACAGGGGAGTCTAAGAAAATTCTGAAATAAAAAATGTGAGGGCTTTGGTGGGTTGGAAAGCAGGGAAGGAGGTTTGCAAGGAGCAGAGAGCAGTGCAGGGAACAGGCATGGGGCAGATGCTGGAGACCTGGATTTGGAGATCATGATTTGGAACTAGGATTCTGACCTGATGATACGTTTTCCTTCTTTGCAAAGCGAAATCCATGGGGCTAAATTTAATTCCACTTGGAACCACTGGTGATTCACCCCAGCACAGGTGCGCCCACACACAGCTGGCGTCAGCTCGGTGTACTTTCCCGCCTGATTCTTCTTTAACCCAGCTTCCCCCCTGGGACAGGGAAGAAAGCCAGACCCTGCTAACCTTGACCCTCTGTGTCTCCGTCTGCAGCATCCTGGCCACTGCGGGGACCCACTTCAACACACATGTGGACCTGAGGACCCTCCGGGCTGTGCGTGTCCTGAGGCCCCTGAAGCTTGTGTCAGGGATACCCAGTAAGCACCATCTTTCTTCCTTCTACTCTGCTAACAGACTCCCGACATGTCCTCATCTGATCCTCGTCTAAGAGAACTTGGGGTAAATAAGAGACAGTGTCTGCTGGGAGTTAGCTCCCCTGGTAATAAACAGTGTGGATGCAACAACCGGATGTAACATTTCTTTTTGAAACTTAGCAGCTTTTTTTTTTTCCAGATTTAAACATAATGAAAGATCTTTATAGAAACTTGGGGAAATACATGAAGTGATATAACATGAAAATGAAAAGCTCCCATTCTCTTATCAGAAATAACTTTTTCTTTTTTGTTAATCCTCTCCTGAGGTTATTTTTTCCATTGACTTTTTTATTTTTTTTTTATTTTTTAGAGAGAGTGGAAGGGAGGGAAGGAGGCAAGGGGGAGAGAGAGAGAGAGAAACATCCATTGGTTACCTCCCACACACGCCCTGACTGGGGCTGGGAATCGAACCTGCAACCCAGGTACATGCCCTTGACTGGGAATCAAATCCCAGACCCTTGGGTGCGAGGGCCGATGTTCTAACAACTGAGCAACCATCCAGGGCCAGAAATAACTTTTTACATTTCTGTATATTTTTTCCTGTACATTTTAAATATAATTGTGATCATACTATACATATAGTTTTAGATCCTGCTGTAAGTATTCAATTTTCCTGACAATAAAAATTCTTCTGAAATATAATTTTATAACCTGTGTTATAGTCTGTCATAGGGGTCATGACTTGTTTAGCTATTGCTGTGTTGCTGGATATTTAGGCTATTTGCATGTTTTCCTCCCAACTGGGAATAGTGCTGGGGCAAACATCTTTTTGCTTCGATCTTATTCACATCTCTGGTTATTTGCTTAGGCTAGAATCCTAGAAGTACAATTTCCGGGTCAGAGATATTTTCTGAATGCTGGTTACACTAAGTCTGCTCTCACAGCAGCAACTGGGATGGCCGGGGCTGAGATAGGAGGATGGGGAAGGTGAACTCTGACCTTGCTCTCACAAGACTCACAGCCCAACAGGGCGAGGACTCACAGGCTCATTGTAATGAGTGTAACCTACAAGAGGAGCCCAGAAGTCAACACGGGTGAAATAAATGAAGGGCAGTAGTCATGTACAAGGTCAGGGTGAGGAGGAGGAAGGGACTGATCCATGGGGGAATTCAGGGTGGCAGTTTGGCTTGACTTTCCTGGTTATCCCTTTGCAGACGGTCTTTGTCATTTCAGGAACAATGATTCTTTTCCCTGCACCACTTGCCCTCCTCCTGGGAGAGGGGAGACTGAGTCCGCGCTGGCGGGGGTGCCAAGTGGGGCTCCGTTTGTCATCCTCTTCCCTTCCTTCCAGGCCTGCAGATCGTGTTGAAGTCCATCATGAAGGCCATGGTGCCCCTTCTGCAGATCGGCCTCCTGCTCTTCTTCGCCATCCTGATGTTCGCTATCATTGGCTTGGAGTTCTACAGCGGGAAGCTGCACCGCGCATGCTTCATGAACAATTCAGGTGCGCTCCTAGACTGTACCCTCCTTCTTCCCTTCTTTACCCCTCGGGTCACTGGTCATTTCAGGGCCTTAATGAGAGACAGCTTGGAAAAGTATGTTCTATTCTAACCCTACAAAGAGAACCAGAAACTTCCTAGTCAGCAGATCTTTTGAGGCCCAACCAACCCAGACTAACCATCCTTGTTGAGATTGCAAAGCTAATAACCTCCTAGGTTTACTGTTGGAGGATGTCAAACAGGAGGTCTCAGCTCCCCCATGCATGGTAGAAGGCTGTCAGAAACTGTCTGTCTGAAGAAAGACCCTGTGTACAGTGGCCTCTTCAACCCACAGGCCAGGGAGACCTAGGAGTTCCATGGAGATGTGTTTCCTTCGTGGTCCATCTCATGACCTTCCTCCCTCTCTGCTGTGACCCACACACAGTGTGGAGGGACAGAGGCAGCTCTGAGCTTGGCTTGGCAGGGGGCCTTGGGGACTGATGGGGTACCCGGACTCCAAATTCTTATCTCTTTGTATCTCATTGTTCTTGGCAAGTTGAGTAGCGTGTCCTAGGAGGAAAGAGGATGAAGAGAGGTTGAAGGAGCTCAATTAGGTACTGTGTTTTTTTTTATGAACAGAATCTTTAAAGGACACCTTATACTTGGATTTTGATTTTTGAGTTTTATTCAAGACCAGGAATTTAGGCCAGAAAAATAAAAAGAGTTAAGACTCACCAAGGGGACTGTAGCTTATGATTGTCCCCAAGCGGCCCAGAAAGAACTCAGGATCTATCCTAGAGTCTGAGGTTTAGAAAATCAGTGAGATTCTGTCTTCACCTCAGACCTTTCTGTATGACCCCATCCTGTAAATTTCTGGTACGCAGGTGACGGTAGAGGCTGTGGCCCGCGGAGAGTAGGTGGGCCATGTGCAGGAATGACTCTGTTTTTAGAGGAGGTTGAGAAACACTGGGTTGAACACTGGGTTGTGGTATGCGGAGCGTGAGGTGTAGAGAGGCCAGAGATGGGAGGAGGGAGCCTGAGACAACGAAGGACACACCTTTCTGTGGGAAATCGAGTTGCATGCTTGTGACTTCCTGAGGTCATTTCCAGCTCATGCTAAACACCATGTGGTTTGTTCCCCACCCTCTACATGTGTGTGCAGGTATTCTAGAAGGATTTGACCCCCCTCACCCGTGTGGCGTGCAGGGCTGCCCAGCTGGTTATGAATGCAAGGACTGGATCGGCCCCAATGACGGGATCACCCAGTTTGATAACATCCTCTTTGCTGTGCTGACTGTCTTCCAGTGCATCACCATGGAAGGGTGGACCACCGTGCTGTACAATGTGAGTAGAGCTGGCGAGGGGCGGGGACAGAGGACAGAATTGGGGCATGAGGCTTCTGCATTGTTTGGCTGGTTCGTCTGGGGAAAGGGATGGTTGGGGATCTGCCTGCATGTGTGCCTCTGTGTGTGTGTGTGTGTGTGTGTGTGTGTGTGTACTCAATCATGGGAAATCTTAGCCTCCATTTTTTGGCCACTTGCTAAGTGGAAGTACACAGCTTCTTAATACAGGAAATTACAACATGTATTGGATGGATGAACAGCTAGTTAAATCAGATCAACTCAGCAGTTATGGAGTATGTGCTGTAACAGGTTTGATGTGGTGGTGGGGTTTGGTAAGGGGTACCATGGGGTACATATTTCTTGGTTACTGTCTTCCAAGAACTTACCATTGGTCTGGAAAGATATTGCCGTAGTTCTTAACCCTGGCTGCACTTTGGAATCAGCTGGGAGCTTTAAAAATTTACACCCCCTGGGCTCCACTCCAGACAAATTAAATAAGAATAGCTAGGGGTAAAGGCCTGTCATTGATTTTTTTTTCTAAAGCTTCCTAGCTGATTCTAACATTCAGCCACTGTCAAGAACTGCTGCATTATAGGCACATAAGAAACGTACTTAATTGTAAGACTCACGATAAGACTCACTAGGGATGCCAGTGAAATATTCAGATGCGCAGGCCCTTTCTATGCAGGGTGTGAATAGTTGGTGAGCTTTTTACAAGTGCCCCTCATGATTCATATGATCGGACATGCTGGAAAGGTTCTGAAGGGGCGCACAAGACAACTGACTGGCTGTCGGGGATGTTAGGATTCCTGCATGGGGCCAGAGGTAGGCAGGTGACCACTGAAAGGCGTGGTGCAGGTCTGAGTTCTAAAGTAAGACAGGGAGCCCTAGCCGGTTTGCCTCAGTGGATAGAGCGTCGGCCTGCAGACTGAAGGGTCCCGGGTTTGATTCTGGTCAAGGACATGTACCTGGGTTGCGGGCACATCCCCAGTGGGGGGTCTGCAGGAGGCAGCTGATCGATGTTTCTCTCTCATCGATGTTTCTAACTCTCTATCCTTCTCCCTTCCTCTCTGTAAAAAATCAATAAAATATATTTTAAAAAAAAATAAAGAAAGACAGGGCCCGGGGTGGGTGCGATTTGATGCTCGAGGAGCCTGGGTGGGCAAAGCCATTTGGGTAAGTTGCCTTTGTGAGTAGGTGCTTACAAAGGTCTGTACCCTCATATGCAGCCAGCCAGCCCACCCGCAGTCAGGTACCTTTGGAACACTCATTCCTCTTACCTGCATTCCCACAGCTGCCTTTACCCTAAGGTGCCCTCTGTTTCCTTTAACCTAGTTTCATTGCATAGAATGTTTTAGGTGGGGCAGAGTGTGGCTTATGCAAAGCCCCTTTAGAAGGTGCTCTGGGCATAATCTGTACTGGAGGGAAAGGAAATGTTCAATCTCAGGAGAGATTCCACCAGACTGTAGTGCCCGAGGAGCTGGGGTTGGCGTAAAGTCTGTAAAGTAAGTGCTTAGTGAATGTCCATCACTCACCTGGATCCAGCCCCATCCAGGCTGAGCAGGGCAGGATGGAGCTGGTGGAAAAGGAGTCACAGGCTGTTGAGCTAGAGGTCGAATGGACAGTGAGGAAGTCCTAAGACCCAGCAAGCCCAGGGGTTACGTGTGACCTAGAAAGACCTTGAGGACACTCTGGGATTCTCGCCAGCTGTGGTGGGGTGGCAGGAAGGAGGGGAGAAAGGCAAGATGGATGAGTGCTGTCACTCCTCATTGGAGACGTGAAGGATGTTTTGAGGCCATGTCACTCAGATCAGCCAGGCGCCTCTGGGAACGACAGCACTGGCCCCACAGTGGCGGGTGTCATTAGTGGGGCTTTGGGAGTGATGTAATTCAATTATATGTGTAGACTCACCTAAGTGATGTGATAAATGCATGGAAAGCCTGAAAGGAGAAGTGTTGCTTTTGGAGATACAGGCGTGACCTATTGGTCCTCCAGAGCCAAGGCTCAGAGGATATTGAGACAGTTGAAGAAACACTCACCACTTCTATTAGTTTCTTTGTTCATTCATTAAACACATATTAAGTGAGCATCTACTACATTGCAAGCACTATGCGAGGAATTAGGAAAACAGGGAGAAAACGAGTACCATGATCCCTGCTCTCATGGTGCTCTCTTCACATTCCCATTTCTCCCTCGTTATCTACCCAACATATGTATGGAGGTCACACAGACTGACTAACCCTGCTCTCCTCTATAGTTTTGTGCCACCAAGGAAGTGGGGAGAAGGAGGTCAAGCTGCAGATCCTCTGAAACCTGTCACTCATGGGCTCCCAGCCAGCCCATCAGCCATTGAACTTCATTGTCCTGAATGCCTCCTGCTACCCCATGACTAGATCCAGGGTCGAAGGAGCTAGTTGAGCTGTAGGGCTGGTTTCCAAAAAGCTGCTGGCCGCTCATGGGCAGAATGACCTCATGTCCACTTTGAGATGACATCACTTTCCAAAGCCTTGAATCTAGGGGCAGGGCACGGAGCCAGGAGTCCACAGCAGCGGCGATGGCCATAGTGAGGTGGATGACTACACCTCGATTCAGGAGAAGTTGGATGGAAAAGGCTCCCGTTTTCAGCCAGTGGCACAAGGACCAAGTCCGGCTCCCTGGGAAGAGAGGGCCAGCAAAAGCTGGGCTTCATCCGAGCAGGGAACTGGGGTGTGAAGCAGCCCCAGGCGGTGCTCTCTGCTAGGAGCAGACACATGCTCTGGAGTTAGGTTGTCTGCTCCTGGGGCAGTAGGTTCAGCGTACTGGTCCCTTCCTAGTGGTGGGCACAGGGCTTTTAATTTATATCATGTAAGCTTTTAATTTCCCCAAATTCATCTATTCAGCATGGACAGGAAAGAGGGTCAGGGAGTGGGAGAAAAATGACTTAAATAGTACAGGCTAATTTACCTACCCATCCTTTCGGTGAACTCTTGCCCATTAAAAGAAAGTGTGAGATGATGAGAGATGCCTGGGATCTTGGCTGAAAATCGCAGATTCTGGTAGTCCATGTCAACACTACCTGCGTAGTTTTCTTTTTTTAATATCAACTCAGAGCTTTGTAATGACAACATTTTGCATATGTATTAGAACTGGTTGCACACCATGGAATGAACAATGAACAACTCGTCAACTTAGTATTATAAATACATGTCTATATATGTATGTTTCTACAGATCCAGAAATCGCTCACTGTTCCATTATCACCACCACCATCACCATAAGGTACAAATGTAGATTGATGTCTCTTTTTTGCTACCCATTCTAGGAAGGCTCAATGCATCCAGCTGCTATTTCCTCATACCGGCCACAAGAAAAAGGGGAGCCCCTAGTTCCTGGTCCAGCACCTCTTCTATTCACTGGCAGCAACAAATATGGGGGATTTATTGGCGCCAGTTATGCCCAGACCAGTAGGAGAGCCTTCAAGTTTACTCTGTACATAGAAGCTCTGGCAAGCATGTGGACTCAGCCTAACCTTTTCCTCTACAACTTAAGTGCTTTTCTGTGTTTGCATCGCTTATCTGCTGCACAGACTCTTCCTAAATGCCTCCCGTGACCTTGTGGTGCCCTGCCACTGATTACTCTTAACTTCATTTGCATGCAGCTTATTCCTTATAATGCATTATTGTAAAAGGGGCAGTAAGGTTCTCATTGCCATGGCAACCCGAGTCCTCCATGCTCAAGCTAGTCTCTACCAAAATTTCCACTCTGCTTGGTCAAACTCCAACTGTATTCTTGGCTTCCCTCTCCTCTTGTGGTAGGAAGAATGCAAAGCAGTGTGTGGTTCCGCTGGCTGCTTCTTCCTGTTTTGACTGTCTCTCCAAACAAAAGTCTCCTCAATTTGCAAAGTCTCCCCTCTTTTTACTAGTTTAATTCAGGTATTTCTCCTAATCTGGTTAGGGGTTCCTTCGCCAATACAATACGTTCTCTCCAATCTATGCTGTTCCCTCTACAGATGCGACGGTGGCTCAGGACTTAGCTCCTAACCCTCATCACCTGGGCCAGATGGGACTCCGAGAACTGGCTTTCTCCTGATGCTGGTCTTATTTCCCTGTTGTCATCCTGGGTGTGTGTCATCTGCTGTTTGTGTTATGAGGACACGTACAGGTTGCAGAGGTTTCCAGTCTCTGTTCACATCTCCTCTCATCTGGGCTCTTAAAGTCCAATGTCTTTTCACCTGTATTTCTGTAGCTCGAGCTATTTCTCTCCTCACTTGGTGTTGATAAACTTATGCAGATACAGACATTTCTTGGAGACCTGCTGTTTCTCCAGCGATGCAGGTATGCCAGCTGCATCTGTTATGACTGCCCAGGATGCTCCATGCTGCTGGGGTGGAAGAGATTTTTATAGCTTTTACTGGCTTTTGGCAAGAAGAGGCAACTATAGTCTGGATGCTTTCCGAGAGTCTTCCTGAGTCCTCAGGAGTCCTTTGGTCTGTAACATGCCTATGACTCTCCTTTAAGTTGCTTTCTCCCAGCTGCACACGGTTAATATTTGTTAAATGGTGAACAGCGACTCACTTTTGCCTCGTTGACATTTTGCTTATGTGTGGCATGCCTAAGAGTAATACCATATCCGAGACTGATGAAGAAAATGCCATCTCCAACTTCAGAATCTTCTCTGGTTTTATGGTATCTACAGAGAACGCCGCTGGTTCTGGGGTCCATAAGACCAGGGAGTGTGTTTGCACATCTTTGCTCAGTCCCCCTTGCCCACCTCCTCCACATGCCGCGGGAACAGAACTTATGTAAAACTCACTTGACAAACAGGGCGCCGGAGCCTCCCATCATCCTATGGTGCTAGAGCAGTAAGTGCACAAGCTGACCTCAGATCAGGAATATGGTTCGTAAAATGCGTAGATTCCTGTGTCCAGGATTAGCCATGCTCTAGAAGAGGCTTGTCTTTCCCCACGTCCCTGTCTGCACTGCCCTGTTCCTGTGTCCCTGCAGGAGTCTGGGACCCTGCCAT